TATAATTTTAAATTTCATTGAATTTTCAGCTCCCCTGAATTAAACTTAATATTTTATAAAATTCTGTACTAAGTATGTATACGTATTAATATTAATTTTATCATAAATAAATGTATGTATAAAATATTACATACGTAATATAAAATTTATGTGAACTATGTCCAGGTAAATGCCATCATGTTTATTTTTGTAATTTCCGCAATAATTACTAATTTAAATTATACATTTATTGGAATGTTTATATATTCATATTAAATATATCTATTCCATACAGATAGCATTTATCTTGGCGTAGTAAATCAAATTTATTGTTGCTTTATTGATGTAACTTACACGATTGATGTAAATTACACGAAATCGATGAATCATATGATAACAAAAATTGTTTATTAATTTAACGAATTTGATAGATGTTTAATTAAAAAAATTTTTTTTAATTTGGATTTTATTGTAAATATGAAAAAGTCATTAATAATTTTAAGTGACTTTTAATTAAACATTTGATGTTTAAAATAATCGTCAATTTTTATTTAATTTATTAAATAAGTCAGTAAAGATTCGAGCTTTGACTGAGGTAATATAGATTAAATATTAACTTCTTGTTTGTTTTTTACATTTATATTTTTAACATTAAAAAATTAGTGAAATATTAATGATTAATTTATTATGTACGAAAGCCTCATCGCTGTCCCTCGCGTCAAGTGGATGCTATGTTGATGCAGTGAATGCGTGATTTGTACCGATAGAAAGTCGAAATTATTTTTACAATATCATATGAAGACTTATTCCTCGTCGCTTTTTGTAAAGTCCATTCGCAAAGTCTTGTTTGGTATCTTGTACAGGAAATTCTTGTACAGGATCGGAATTAATCCCGAGTTTTCTCGTTTTACACTGGAAGTAATAATTTTGTCAATGAGTCAGACAATTATATGCTATATATTTTAAAATCAAATTACGAAATTAATTCAGTAGTACTTTAACATACAATTTTCGTCGCTTTTTTTGTTTTATTAAATGTTCTCCCACTAGTAATAATAATGTTAGTAATAGTACTATATCTTAATAACAATACGAATTTAATGTTATATAATTAATGTATGGATATACATATAATGATTATTTTTAAATCCAAATTATTAAGTAAATAAATTTAAGCTTTATGCAAATAATTTGCTTATTTTTCGATGATTTCTCTAACAAAAAAATATGATTACGAATGTATATATTTAATTTTTTAATTGTTATTTTAAAATCATTTTTAGGTATTGGAGACATCCCACCATTCCAGAATATTGTTAATTATTAATTTATATGTATATTATATACTTTTCTATGATAAAATACATGCAGATATATTTAACGAGATTATATTTAACAAATTTTGATTTTTGTCGATTTAGATAATTTTTTTATCAAAATACCTTATGTTCTTTTATCAATGATATCGTGATTACATGAATTTAATTAAAAATGTGTGGATACAAAAAATTCGAGATAAATCGAATGGATGTCTTTATATTAGCGAGGTATTAATAATTAAAATTTTGCAGAAAAAAAAAGATTGTTAAATTTTATATAATAACAAATTTTATATAATAACAAATTTTTCAGAAAGCATATTTAGTTCTTTAAAATCTCGTTATTATCAAGTTCGATTATCTCGCACAGTTGGTACCGGAGATCCTTGTATTCATACAAATAAAAAATTACAATAATGCATGTATTTTATTACTATTAAATATATTCCTTCGTAATCACCATTCCATAAGGAAATCATTTTATCTTTTTATTTTTAATAAGAGATGATTTGTAGTAATGTGTGGTAGAACATATAATTTCCTCGCAAATTTTGATATTATATTAAAAATGCAATAAAAATGTAATTAAGATGCTACCAAAATTATTTCTATCATAAGTGGTCTGAAAGATTTGGAATTCACATCCTTCTGTAATAAGACCGCTGGTTTGACGGATTGCTTAACTTTTTTTTTGCGAATAGATCTTATGAATTTGACGTGGAATCAGAATACATCAAGTTCGCTTTTCTATGAAGATTTTTTTCTTCTTTGTATCGGATACTGACCTTATCACAACGTGGAGGGATCTTGATCAAATTATCGGGATAATTATCTTAAATGCGATGAAAGTCTTGTCGTAAATGTATTAATGACTTTTTATCACGATATTAATAAGTTTTATAATATAATAGCAAGTTAATAATTAATAATAAGTACAATCTAATTGTTGTTAGTATTTTCATTCCACATTTATCAATATTTCATTAAACATTGGTTTAGAAAATTTGTGTTATCATATGTATTTTCGACATTTTCGTATAATATCTCATTACTAAATTTTGTTAATTGTGCTCCTATAATATAATTCTTATTATATTTCGAACAACATTTTTTATTATACATTGTATTGTATTATTAAAGGCTTACAATAAAAGATAATATTAAAAAGCTATGCAATGTAATTGTTAATTATTTTATTGTATTTCGCTAATCATAATGCAATATGATTTTAGCGAAATATAATAAAATAATTAAAGAAAAAAAGAGAGATATAAAATTACAAAATAAATTTAAAACATACTTACTTGCAAAAACTGACTAAATTTAGTAAAATAAAAATGTAATATAAAAATACACAGATTAATTATAATATCTGAAGACATGTAGTGCCTTGGCACTAAGTATTAGGGGGCCGAAAAGTAATGTCGTTTTTTTAAAAATGTCTGGCACGAACTTTGAAGTATACAATGAACTGATAAATGACAAACGAATATCGACATACGACAAACGACATTACTTTCCGGTCCCCCTAATATATGTGTAATCATCACGAATTTAATTCTTTCTCTTTTTGTCGTAATCTTTTCAATTATATATCATTGCATTGTGAATCTAAATCAAATAATATGATAATTACGATATTTAATATATAATATTTTATGAAATGGTATATACAATACATATATAATATAATATATTTTAAAAATATATAATATATTTTTCTGAATTTTTGATTTCTTTTTATTATTTTATATACAATATTTATTTATATACAATATTTATATACAATATTTATTATTCATTTTTTAATTTGTCACAATTTTTGAACATTTTTTAGCATGAATTCAAAATTTAGAATATAATGTGTTTAAAAAACTAAAGGGAATGGCTAAAACATGGCGGACCAATCACAAGTGATACCCGTATGACGCCACTCTGATTATAGGTTCTCTATCTTTCCGAGCCCAGCAGTGCCCAGCAGTGCCTAGCAGACGACGCACGACTCATTATTGAAGTATCGGACTGTCAACGTGCAAATATGGCGTCCGCAACGGTAGGTACACAACGTAACAACGCCGTGATTCTTCCGCGCGATCGATCGCATACTGACGCTACATATTTTTTTTAGTCGTGCCTAACCACGAGGTATCCGATTGTCTCGTAAAACGAAAATAAGTCTCGTTTCGTTACGGCGGGGGCTGGGGGGAGTGGAAGGTCGTCACTCTGACATTCGCTTGCGCATTTCCGTACGTATTCCTAGCGTACACTGCGGAAGGGTAATATGGATAATCACGCCCTTTGCGGAAGCGAATGCGGGAGTTTCTCGGGGTTCAATTTCGTGTCTCTTTTTTTCCTCCTTTTTTTATTTCACTCGAGAAACGGAGTACGCTCCGTGTTAATTCATTTCTCCACGTCATAGTGCATGTGCATATAGATTTAATCTTGAAATGTCACTTATTTGTCTTAAGTTGACACTACTTGGGTGAATTTGAGTGAAAATTCATCCACATAATTAAGAATCTTTTACACTTTTTTTATGTTCATGTTAGAGCAACTAAACTTGACATTATTTTTTAATGTAAAATCTTGAACTTTAAACAATATTATTAAATGTTATTTTAAGCTGTCTAAATTTCAATAACAGAAACTATACGAAATTCAAAAAATGCATAGATGAAAATTTATCTACCCACAGTAGTATCCTAAGATAATAAATGCAAGATAAATTGCATGGATATAAATGCATGCTCGATACTCCTTTCATCGAATGTTCCATAATCTCATTTATAGGTACCCTTACTGATGGATGATGATACGATTGCTTTTGGAGAGGAGGAGGAGGTCCAGAATTCCAACAAGCTTAAGTACAAATAATAAATAATGAAGATCGCGTATCTTTTAAATGCGAGTAGACCTTACTTTTGTAAGATAAAATATTGTTTTCTGTAATTTTAGACACCCGTACGTTACGCTGTTTCACTTGGCCTTCCGGATAGCGGCTATAATAGTTTATTTGTTTTGCGGCTTGTTTTCAAATAGTTTTATAGCAAGCTTTGTAACAGTGGTACTACTTTTATCGATGGATTTTTGGACCGTTAAAAATATTACAGGAAGATTAATGGTTGGCCTTAGATGGTGGAATTATGTGGATGACGATGGCAAAAGTCATTGGATTTTTGAATCTAAAAAGGTTCGCTTATTATGTAAATTTGTATGTATATTTTAATTTATATCGCCATGCAATGTAGTGATAAAAATCTCTAACGAGAAAGTGCCTCTTTTATATCCTTTAGCATTGTATCAAGAAAATCATTTGATTCTACTTAGACATGAAGCTTGTATCAATGTTGTTGCATTTTATATCATAAATATACATAAGTTCCACTTGCTTAGATTACATTGAAATGTAGCTTTCAATTAGCATGTATATTTTTTCATTTGTCACGTTTCAGCAAACATTGATTTAATTGGATTGGTTGTTCAAGGTTTTCCAGCTGTTATATTTTTATGCCCTTGACACTTTCTAGAACTACTTGTAATAATCAGATTATAAGTAGACAGTCACCTAAATTCATGTTCTATTTCATTTGCTCTTTTTATTGTGATTATTTATAAAATATGTATCTTAAATGATTCAGATTATGTAAATATCATTTTCTTGTACATGTGTAAGTCCAATATCTATTATGTACCCTGTGTTTCAGGGTGCACAACAGAACCGCATTAATGCAACCGAGGCGCGAATCTTTTGGTTAGCCCTGATTTTGTGCCCATTTTTTTGGTCAATGTTATTTATTGCAGCGTTATTTGGTTTTAAATTCAAATGGCTTTTGCTCGTTTGCATTGCCATAGTTTTAAACGGTGCAAATTTATATGGCTATGTCAAATGTAAAATGGGAAATGATAAAAATATTTCAACGGCCACAAGTGATTTCATCAGGAAACAAGTTCTTCAAAATGTATATTTTTATGAAACCAAATAATATATTTTTCTTTTATATTTAGGTGTATCGCATACTTATTTAAATTTATTTTACTACAGGTTACATCAATAATGACCAGGAGTCCACCAACGAATAATTCCAATCAACCAACTAATGTTATATAAATTATGAAACATTAATTAATATATGGATGTGTGTGTGTATGTCATTTAAAATTTATGTTTATAATGATAATTTAATATTTGCAAATGTTTGTATATAAAAATAATGTTAGACAATATCTTATAAGTATTATATGTATAATAAATCAGGTTCTATTATTATTACTTGATGAGATGCTTGTTTATCTGGCCTGTTATACATGAAAAGGTTAAAACGAATATTAAAAAGAAGGAAACATTTGTTATATGTTAGTACTAGTTTATTAATGCCGCAAGGCAATACATAATGTACACGGTATTTTTTTTTCTCGTCAACAGACTCTTCCTATTACACAATATTTATTTTGTATAGTTGTTAATTAGTAACATTGCATTTATCATTGTTTTTACCTCAGCCTGTTGTATTCTTTCTGGCAAGAAAGTATCACAAAATAATTTCCCATTCTTTCAACGATATTTAGTATTTGACTTATTCTTTGCATTTAAATTCATATTCTTCTTCGGATTCGTGACCGCAGTCACTTTATTGATTCATCTACAGATGAATTCGAGGCGATCTTATACACAATAACAAACTCGCTATATTGCACGGAGCTACAGTAGCCGATTGTATTTTATTATATTATCAAAACTGCTCCGAAGACACGCGCGAGTCGTAAGTTTTCAAGAAGAAGAATACAACAAACCACATATCGTTTTGCTATACATTTTAGATCATTAAAAAATTATAAAGACTAAGGGTTACTGTACTAAAATACAACATACACGAAAGTTTCAGGGAATGATACAAAAAACTTAGTGTAACATTACAATTATTATGTTATAATATAAATGTACGAATATTTTGTGGACTTCCTTGTAGCAGTAAATTTTAGTGAGTATAGATTAATGATATCAACTTATAACTAGTAGTATATTTATACAATAATTTAATTTTGTTTTTGGTAACATATTTTAGCTTGGGACTTTAAACGTGAAGCCATTAAGAAAGTTGGCAAAGTACATATGTTGATAATAATTATATTGAAATGTAATCACATAAATTTATAACTTATAAGTTTCAAATTCATAAGTTTCTTACAAAAGTTCTGCCAAGTTTAATGCTATTAAAACTTAATACGCTTTACAGTATTCTAAGAAGAATGTTTAATGGGATGAAACGCTTAATGATTTGTTACAGATGAATACTTATCATAATGATTTGAAAGTTATTCTTAGCAAAAGTCTTTTTCTCTTTTTAAGAACATTATAATAAAAACCATAGCGTGTACAGGGCGTTTGACTTTTTAAAGTTTAAGAGCTACTGGTTTTCTTCTTGAGAAATGTTCCCATACCAAGAACTACTTTACCAAAATTAGCAGTAAAAATAATTTAACTTCGTGAATGTTGAACGATTAATTATACACTAATGGGATAAAATATTTCAATGTGGAAATAAGTTAATGTTATTTACAGATGAAAATTGTTCAAATATCCATTTATATAGTCTAATGTCTTAAAACGTATTGTTTCGAATTTTGTATTTAGCATTTTCAATCGTTTGTAAGAAAGCTAATAAACATTATCCAGTCATACACCATGTATAACATTTCATTAACAAGATCTTAAAAAGTGTGAGTCTTTAAATACCGATTACAATTTTTGAAATTATACACACAAAAAGATAAAAATATTACAAAATCATTTCTTGCCATTCGAAGCTATTCGTAATTTAATTTGCTTGAAAATGTTTAATAGGAGCATATTGTATAGAATAAGAAACTTTACTAAAGCAATGTTTCTAATAAATTAAAATTATAAAAGAAGTAATAATATAAAAAATATTGTATAAATATATATTTTCTTCAAAATAAAATGCTGCATATTAAATAGCTGCTTATGATTACATTCTGAAGGCCAAATAGTAAGTCGTAATAAAAAAATCTGCTGCCACATTGTAGAAACACTTGACATGATAACATAAAATGTCGTTAATTTAAAGTTATTTATGTAATGAACTTTGACATAAGGCAAATCGTAGAATTATTTTTACAACTAGTATTATCATTACATATTATTATTACAATTAGTGCTATAATTATTACCATTACATTATAAATTATGAAAAATGCCATGATGGTTGTAAATGGTTTAATAGGCAGTGAAAAATTTGATGTATTATATAATTACGTACATTTTAATATTAATAAAATATTTTAAGTACTTTTTCAAGCACAAAGAATTTAAACGTTCATAGTAAACGTTATATGAGATGGCCCTCAGTTTGTTAAAAAAATATCACACTAAAACGAATAAGTAATTTTTTTGATAAACCAATCTGCAAAGAAACTGCTCAAAAGCCATTATAAAAGTACATTCGTTAAAACAATACGATAAATACATAAAAAAAAAAACGTAAAAAATGTATTTAACAAATATAAAATTGGAAATAATAGATATCGAGAAAATTAAATATTACAGGCGGATACAACGTACTGAGTAGATTTCATGTTTTTTGTGTTAAAACTTAACACGGTACTCTGGAAAATACCGATATCTTTTTAAACATCTTCATGTCTTTATGCACACTTGTATTTCTTATGATATCTATATATATATCTATGTATATATTACTTATAATTTTATGTATATATATATTTATATATTTATATAATGTTGCTAATGACAGATGGTGCATTTATGTACATTTAGTCACAGTTCCTGACCCTCGAACCACAATAACTAACGGTAAAAGGAGTATTCGAGCAAAATTGTATAAATTGTGAAATAGCATTTCGTGTTGCATTACTTGTATAGTTTCAACATATCAAGAGTATTTCGTAATAAGTGTAGAATCATTATAGCCAAAAGAATGCCAAAAACCGGAGAAGATTTATGATCAATAAATTATTTTATTTAGATGACATTATGTTCGTTATTGTACATGTACACTTTTTTAAAAAAATTATTTCTAAAATGTTAGCTACAAGATTTGCTATACCGAACAGTATCGTATAGGTTTCGAAGAAAGTGTAATCGAGTAATTATTGTCCTCGTAAACTGGAGAGCTTGCAATTTGAAATTGCAATACATTCATCCGAAGTAGTATATTATACAAAATGGATAATGTCACGGTAAAAGTGATTAGTTGATGCTTTTATAAAATCATATAATTCAATAGAATCATTGGTCACATTGATAAATTTATTTATTATTTATTGGCATTAAAATTAAAGCAGTCAATGCGTTTATTTTGATCAAATCAATTGATCACTAATCTTAAGAAAAAATATTCGATTGTATTATTCGCCAATACAACCAATAATTCTGTAGAATTATCAGAAATTTTATAAAATTACCAGATTAAATATTTTCACCGTAACATATAAATATATCATGTAGCGATGTTCTTCATTGTGCGTTCTTGGCATTGATTTGGCATTTGAAAAAGAAAAGTTTTATATTACAAACGATGATTTAGTGCATAGTATGAACACTCAGCGTAAATTTGATTTTAATAAGGTATTTGTAAGCTAAAAAAGCATTGAACTGATAATTGAATTTGTAATTATCCATTTGAATATATTTGAAAGGAAATTAGAAATATTCTCGAGGTAGAAGCTATGTTGGAACTTTGTACATAAGGGTATCGAGGGCTTGGGAGAACAGTACACGAATTCAACATACAGTGCTTATATTTAAATTAGTTTTTTTTTCTTCTTTTATAGAAACGTGCGCAAATTCACTTGCGCACCTTTCATTGAATAGGCACCGTTTCCTTTCATCCTTCTTTCACTCGGGTCCTTCTTTCATCCTCATTTCCCTAATGGCGTCGCTTAATCTATCCTTAAAACAATTTTTCTTATAATCTATCTAACATTATCATAATGAGAAGATCCCTACTGTTCATAGTGAGTACAGCATTAATAATTGTCAATTTGGCAGTATGGCAATTTTTTTTGTTTCTTGTGAGCGGAAATTTTCATCTCTCTCTTTCTTTATTTTATAGTGGCTAAAGAAAGTTACTTGACTGCTTTTTCGATCCATTTTTCTTTCTACATTAGTAAGTGTTCGTGGAATATGCCACGGTAAGTTCTTGTTTTTCACAATGTGTGTTTCGCACATGCAATTGATCGTGCATTCCGATACTCTGTTTCTTTTACAAACATGGATATCGAGACCATCTGATTCCTCTATGTAATTCGCTATTGAAGGAAGCACTCTTATCCTCAATAAATAGGAAAGATTTTGATCTTCACTGTCTCAGTTTGTAAGAGATACTATGCACAGAAAATGCACTATGTTTCGAGTGGGAGAGAGATATGGTCGATATCTTCAGTCTAATCTTAAAATTAGATTTAGATTAAAAAATGCTTTTGCGAATGATCGACTTAATAATGGGATATGTTCCAATTTACTAATTCGCAAATATGATATCCTACCAATGATGGTACATAATTTTGATTACATCGTCGTACTTGGTTGATTGATTCTTTAACGTAAATGCTTGGAAATTAAGAAGCATAAAAAAGAAAACATATCTACGTGATATCGTATGACACGATCGCCCGTATAACCATGTGTACTATATGTACTTCTAAACGGCAGTTTTGACTCGCGTCATCGCAAGGGAACTTTCAAATCTAGTTTCTAAAAAGAGATTAGCCTAAACCGAATGCTTTTCAGTATGATTCCGCGCGTTTACTATAGAAGTGAAAATTTCCAGCATATTTGCATTTACTGCAACACCATTGACTAAACATTTCATCTCTATATTAACTGCCCACGACACTAGTAATCGCATTACTACTGTATTTGTCCTTGGAAGGTACGAGTATGTCATACGACTTTATTGTACTAGACACGTCGTATTTTTGCTCTCTCAATATCTCTCTCGCCTCTTTGCCGATCTCGTTTGTCTCTCGACAGATCTCTCTGCTCGCGAGTGTCGGCTTGTCAGTTGGCGTAATGATCGAAGGAGCCTAAATATTCCAAACTGGCCCGATAGCAGAATTGATATTGATCCTGTGACAAGAATATCGTAAATGATATTACGATGCACATAAATATATT